GGAGATAGGAATGGATGTAAAATGCATAAAAGTGACAAATCATTCCAACCGTTCCAGTGCCGTATAAAATTTGGCAAAAAGTGGTGTTGGCAAACACCAAATAATGAAAATTACAGGTCACAGCAGTGTGAACTCAGTCAATTCATACTTAAAACTGGTTGAAGAACATCAAACTGAATTGACTTCAAAAATGAGAAATGAAAATTTACCAAGCGAAGCTACAAGTAATAAAATTGCAATTAGTAACTATTATAACTGGGTATTTCATTATACGAATAAATAAACTTTTAAAATAATTTAGTCAATACTTATTTTTGTAGAATGTCAAAAATATTCACTATAAGCACACGTGCAACTACCCGGGTATTTGCATAATGCATCGGTCATATTCTTCCGTTGCTAGGTGATTTTGGTAAGATGCGTTAATATTATTGGTTGAAATTTTCTGAGAGAAATATTTGGCAAAAATTTGATACGACGGCATAAATTTTCTGAGGGGGATAAATAGATATGTTTTGGTTAACGATTTATTATGATTACAATAACTTAAAATATTTACAAGATTTCAGAGCATCCGGTTTTGCAGTTTCAAACTTAAACTGCAAAATATTGTTATACAGTTTTGATTTTTTTCCCAAAAAATATCTGGATGTTTAGAGAGAAAATTCGACAAGGAGTCACTTATCACAAGTGCAGGAATATCTTCTTTCATAAAACTTATAAAACTTGCTATTATAAATTTTGGAGATGACGTCATCCCATTGGTGGTGGGGATGGTTAGCCAAATTTTAGTTAGCGATTAACGATCTACTTGATGTTCCTAATTAACACACAAAATTGAACAATCGGTCCGTTAATTTTGGACATTACGTGTCTAATAAAAATGTATACAGACACCAAACAGTCAGACAGACAGACCAAAACGGAAGACCACATTTTTCGTACTCTAGATATGACATGTCCAGAAAATATGAAAGTGGCAATTCGCACGATGGGCTCGATTACTATAATTTCTTAGCTTATGCTCAGGAAGTAAAAATTAATTAATTAATTTAAATAATTAAAATAATTTTAAATTGAAACCCTTAATGAGTTGTATATCGGGTGTGTCAAAAGTCGCGGAGGACCGTAAATATTCAACTTTGGGAACACTCAAAGAACGTTGGAAATTTTTTATTTTTTACTGTAAGCTCTTCGCGTAGTTGTTAGAGCTATTAGAAGTTCCCTGGAACAAATCTAATATCTAAATATTCGGTTTTTGATTTCAGTCATAATTTTCTTTTTGATATGCAACTGTATTACCAATACATATCCAATAAGACATAACATAAAAGTATCAGAGATTCCGTTACCTCTTCTTTAGTGTTGAATTTGGCCGAGTACTGTAAGTTGAAAATCTGGCAACATGGAAATCTTACCATATCATAGCAACTAAAAAAACAGTTTTCATAATTGTCAAAAAGTTGTGACAGTTTTGAAGTATTATTTCAGTCTTAATGGTCTGAAATGTTGTAGAAAATACCAAACAATTTACGATCCGAAGCTTGTTTGTTGGCTAACGGTAGAGTCTTTTCACACTTGTTATAATTTTGTTTTTAATATCTTTGTAAATAAAGTTTTGATCTAATATTGCCTTCTCCATTTTTGAATTACCTAAAACTTGAACATTTTACGTGGCAACGAAAATACTTGCAGTTAAAGTTATCGTTGTCGTTTACCGATGTTGTCTTTTTAACTTTTACATTTGGAATCTTTTCTACAGAAGGTGAAAATTTAGAATTATTTTTTCAACGGAGTCGGAGACCCTACAACAACGACAACCTTCCGTTAACCGCGCTTTCGCGACTTTTGACACACCCGATATATCGATTGTAGAATCGTTTTTGGAACATGAACTTTACATGTAAAAATAGAAAATTGAAAATATTGATTCTCCTAATTATTTTAGGGCAAAACGTTAAATACAAAAATTGTACAGGACAAAAATATTATTGATCGAAAGTCGTTTCGACAGAACTTCCCTCGCACCTAAAGTACAATGGAACATATCCAGCATTTTCGAGTTGAGTTTTTCCTTTACACAATTTTGTGATAACGTCATCAACATTTTTGCAAGGACACATATATCAACTTGGATTGGTGCAGTGTAGTACCAAAAATAACAGTATTGTATCCCAAAATTTTCTGGAAAAATGGACTGAGCCGTTCCTGACTTGGTTAATAAAATAAACTGACTGATTCATTATTTTTTTAAGTCACCTTGTATAAGCAAATCTAAACAATATGAATGCAATGACAAATTACAAGTATAGACTGTTCATATTCTGGACATTTTAGATAGGATTTATTCGGCAAAATTTTGAGTGACGTTATCAGTTTTTTGGGGTTGATAAACAGACACATTTTGATTAAAAAGTTACCATGCTTAGAGTAACTTCAAAACTTCTGCAAAATTTCAAAGTGTTAGGTATGTCGTCCCAAAGAACAAAGACGACCCTAGGACTTCCTGTTCACAAAAGAACAGTTTTGCGAGTACTGGTTAATGACAAAAATGTTAAATATGCCAAATATGAGAAACAACCAATGTTAAAAAAAAGATCATATTCAAAAACGTCGTAATGGGGCCAAAGAAATGCAGACCGAAAATGAAGAATGGTTCCAGACAGTTTTTTCAAATGGAAAGAAATTTAATCTTGATGGTCCTGATGGTTTTAGATATTATTGGCACAATTTACGGAAAGAACCTAAGTATTTGTCGAAACGAGTCCAAGGAGGTGGCAATGTTATGGCCTGGGGTGCCTTTAGTAGCTTAGGAAATACTAACTCAGCATTTATTTCAAATCGAATGAACTCGCTAGATTACCAAAATGTGTTGGAAGTGCACCTCAAACCATATTTGAACCTATTTCAAGACAGCAAAGTGATTTTTCAGCAAGATAATGCTTCGATTCATGTGTCTAATTAATCGAAAACGTGGTTTCAATGAGAAAATATAGCTTTGCTACCGTGGCCTGCGAAAAGCCCGGATCTCAACCCCATTGAAAATGTATGGGGTTCTCTTGTACGAGAGATTTACAAAGATGGGAAACATTGCGCAACTCATTGTACAACCTACATACGCCTTCAATTTGCTCCCTGAAACTGATTACCGAAGTCCTGTCTAAATAAAAACAAGTTACTTTACGATGCGGTGCATCTACTGGAAATACTTGAATATCATAATTTCAAAACTCCAGTTTCAAAATATTCGACTATATCAGGTCAAATAAGTGTATTGTAACATAACAGTTTTAGAAATTGGTCGATTAAATGGCCGAAATTTTGAAATTAAAGTTGCGATAAAGATTATATACACGATATTAAACACAGGCAACTTTCAATGTCGGCGTGTCACGCTATATTTGAGCTTAACTGATTCTCTTTCGTATTTTTAACATGTTTAATTTATTCTAACAATAAACTGTTTAGAAAAATGTTTTTCAGTGCATATTGAAACGGACAGCTAAAACAAAATTATAACAATAATTGTAGGAGAAGTACTGTGTACAACTCGCTTAAAATATTCATATCTTCATTGTATGAACTGCGGCATTCGCTTGCGGCTCTAATTTGCATACTCGTGAGATAAACGTACAACTTCATGCTCACTGTTCTATATACTGTTATAAAATCTTAACATTTCTAACATATGGTGATGGTTAGTTAATCTGAAATGAAAATTTTGTCATAATTCTATATATTTATAAATAGTAATAGTAAATGATTTTGTTGATGCTCAACCAACTCATCAACAAAATACAGATATAACATTTAACTCTTGTGAAACTTTCGAAAAAGAGTTATTTAAAAATCGACAATGGAGAAAATAATGTTAAAACTAAAATCTGCTATATTTCCAAATACCATTGTGGCACGTATTTGCTAAACATACTATAAATAATGTAAAATTTCCTAGTTTCCGTGCATAAAGTTTGAAATTAGAGTTTTCATAGTTTTGTTGAATAAACAGTTTCCTGGATATAATCAAAGTTATAAAATTTTATTTCAGAATTGATCCATGGATGCGATACCTAATAAATACATTTATAAGTTTCTATTAATAAACCAAGACAAAATTTTTCCAACCAAAATGGTTTTCCTTGTTTATAACTGTAATAACTAATAACAAATCTAAATCTTTTTTGTGAAATACTTAGTATACTCTAATTTTAGTAAGAATTAGAATACAAAGTGACTTTAATTCCTCTATTGCAAGCCAAAAATTTCTTTTTATGGAAACATCCTACGGACGCTTAGGTATATTCATATTACTCTCCCACTAAATGAAATCTTTCTTTCGTCATTAACGGCTATATAAGAACATACTTAATGTACATTATAAACAGTTATGATTAAAATCGAGTAACTTCGGTTGGTAATAATACATCAATACTGAAAAGACTTAATAGTACTCTCTTAATTTTCGGCCAATCCTTTTATTTAGAAAATATATAAATTCATTTTTAAACAAAATTAAAGACGTAATTATTATGCAAAAAAAGGTGTTTAAAACTCTTGTTTGAACATATGTTTTAAATAATAATTATCACTAAAAAACACAAAAAAAAGTTCAAACACTAATTGTATACACACCAATGATGATGGTCGTGGAAGAGTTGATCAAATATTAATTGTCCTTTGTGCAACTGTATTTTTCACAAAATAATTTCGTTGGACTGGTTTGTATAAATGGTACTAATGAGTAATGAGCTAATGAGTAATGGCGTGTAAGTTTCTTAAATCGCTTACATTTTCACAAAATATTTAACTGGAAATTTTGATATTCTTTAAAAAAATGAAATGAAGCGTTTGCGATAGAACACGGTATCCAAGCAATGTTCAGCAATTAACGACATCTGCTGCTCAAAAACACAAGATCCGTTTACATTGCTTAGAATACCTGCTTATTTGCTCATTAAATACTGACTTAAAATTATGTAACTTGAGAGCAGGATACTTACCTTCGTCGTCTTGTAATCGCATTTTTGGAACCCTCCAAAGATTTCTTCTAGAGTTTCATCACACTGATTTAAATCTAACTTCAAAAACAATTCAGTACTAAGGTTTCCTCTAGTGGTAACAAAACCATAAAACCAGTTGCCTTTTAAAAATCGGCAGTCTTTAAACGCCGGGGTCCAACCCTGCGTACCGTTTTCGAAACTTTTCCAAAATGTATTAGTTTCTAACGTTTTGTTCGGAAATATCCTGAGTGAATTATTAATGTTAAGAGCTAAATTTCGTTCGTTTGGAGATTTAATAATTAGTCCAACTATCTGTGAATGTGCAGACAGAGTTCGATAGGCAACATCAGAAAAATTGCTGCTCAGATTGTGAAAGAAAGAAGTAGTTATAGCAGTAACATTCAAGTTCAGTCGGGATGGAGCGGTTGGTTTAGAAAGAAATCGGATTTTACAATCTTCATTATTGTTTCCTGCATATACGGCTGTCAAGACAAGGAAGAGAACAACAACAGCTTCATTCATGCCGTCATTATATCATCTTCAACTTCGAGCTTTTCAGGGGAGACCTGGAACAAAAGGAAATAGTGAAAATCGAGAGCAGTTTCCGATTATTGACTTAACGGTAATTAAATTAATTGCCTTTGCCGAGAAATCATTGATATAATATCGTTTACAACGCAAAGAATCGTATCGCAGAAATACATTTTCATGGATTAAATCGATATTTTTTTCGCGTTCATTTGTATGGAAATGACATTGTTTGAATTCAGCCTAACAAACTCTGTAATAATACTGCTGATGATACGCAAATAATAATATAGACAGATTACTGCTCACAAAATTTTAGAATTCAAGCACGAATAATTGCAATTACAAAAAGCCGTATATAAGCGTATGCGTTTATATATACAAATCAGCAAAAAATTGTACACATAGTGTCCTTACTTTAAAATATCGGTAGCTCATGAACACTAATAATTACGAAATAATTTTGATTGAAGATTGTTCACCAAAAAAATACTTCTAGTTCAAAATAAATTATTTGTTAAAAATACTTTAACAAAATACAAAAGAACAGGTCCACTATGATATTGTTGTTATTACTCATACTACCCGAGTATAAGCTAAGGACTATTGTAATCGAGTCCATTGGGCGACTGGCTGCTTTGATATTTTCTCGATGGGTCATGACTCATGACACCTAGGGTATGAAAAAAAGTAGTGTTTGTCTGTCTGTCTGTCTCTCCGCCGTCCGTGATAATCTCCGAAACTATTGGACCAATTGTTGTGACATTTTATACGTGTGTTATGAATATCATGTAGATGGTAAAACGCTAACCAAACTTTGTCCAATCAATCCCACCAATAATGTGATGTCTCAAAATTGTGAATCAATGTTGAGTTTTTACCCAAAAGGTCCAGATTTTTGGGTAAACAAATTAAAATTATATAACAACATTTTTCAACTTAATTTTGAATCTGCAAAACCGAGTACTTTGAAATTTTGCTTATTTTTTTAAAGTTATCATAAATATGGTAAATTTTTAATCAAAATATATTTGCTTATCCCCCTTCCCTCAAAAAATTGATGACATCACCTTAAAATTTTGCCGAACAAATCCTATCTAAAATGTGCAAAAAATGATAAATTTTTACTTGTGATTTATCACTGCGTTAATATTTTTTGGATTTGCTTATGCAGGTGACTCAAAAAAAATTAATGAGTAATTTTATTTTATTGACTAAATCAGGAACGGCTCATTCCATTTTCCCAGAATATTTTGGGAATACAATACTGTTATTATTAGTATTAATCTCACGAATCCAAGGTGATATACGTCTCCTTGCAAAAATGTTGATGATGTGATCAAAAAATTTTATAAAGTGAAAACTCATTTAAAACATACGCGTAGCTTGTGTAGGTATGTTTACTTTAACATTACATACATATGTTTGTTTCAACTTATAGGAGTTCTCAAAAAAATAAAATAAAATTCGAAAAATCAAATCCATAATTTTTTGAAAATGCCTGAATATGTTTCATTGTACTTCATTGGCGAGGGAAATTCTGCCGGAACCACTTTCAACCAATTGTATTGCATTCAGTTCCTTGTTTCTTGCTTATGATTTGGACATTTTTAAAACATTTTTAATTAAAGTCAATACAATACATTTCATCTCATTACTATATCAGTTTTTTCATGGCACAATTCCCACATTTTTTTACTTCCCGAGCGTAAGCAGAATAAGTCTTGTAACCGAGTCCGTCGGCCGACTCTCTACTTTTACGTTTTCTCGACCTTTAATGACCCCTAGAGTACGAAGATATAGGTCTCTCGTTTCCGTCTGTCTGTCTGTCCGTCTGTCTGTCCGTCTGTCTGTCCGTCTGTCTGTCTGCCGTCCCGGATTTTTATTAGACAGATCTCCGAAAGTACTGAGCCGATTGTTGCCAAATTTTGTATTTATGTTAGGAATATCATGTAGACGGTAAAACGCTAACCAAAATTTGTATCCGCACCACTAATGCACTGCAAAATTGTACCAAAAAAAATGGGTCTTAAATAGTATAAAATAACATAGTCCTATACATGTTCTTTATGACTCCGAATTGAGTTTTTACCCGAAAAAAAATCAAGATCATGAAACAACATTTTGCTATTTAATTTGGAATCTGCAAAATCGAATGCTGTGAAATGTTGCAGATGGTTTACAGTTGCGATAAGCATGATACATTTTTAATCAAAATATATTCACTTCTCCCCTCCAAAAAATTGATGACATCAGCTCAAAAATTTGCCGAATAATATCTAATATGTGTAAAATATAATGGATCTGTACTTGTGATTTGTCATTCCATTCATATTTTTTGGATTTGCATATACAGGGTGACTAAAAAAATTAATGAATGCGTGAATTTATTTTATTTATTTAATCAGAAACTACAAAACCGAATGCTTTGAAATCTTGGAGATGTTTTAAAGTTATCATAAATAAGATAAATTTTTAGTCAAAATGTATTTGCTCATCCCTCCCTAAAAAATTGATGACGTCACCCCAAAATTTTGCTGAATAAGTCCTATCAAAAATTGACATAATGTGATGAGTCTGTACTTGTGATTTATCATTCCATTCATATTTTTCAGATTTGCTTAACAGGTGGCTCAAAAAAATTAATGAATGAGTTAATTTATTTTATTGATTAAATCGGGAATAGATCACTCCATTTTCCCGAAAATTTGGAAATACAACACTGTTATTATTGATTAAATCGGGAATAGATCACTCCATTTTCCCGAAAATTTGGAAATACAACACTGTTATTATTAGTAAGTACATATTACATTGCACCAACCCAATTTGATAGACACAAAATTTTGTAAAGTAAAAACTCGTTTGAAACATAGGCGTAGCACGCTTATTTACTTTTACTTTAACATTACAGACGTGCATTTGTTTTGTTGCGCTGACTAGGTTCCGTGAAAGTGGCAAATGTGGTATAGATAACTTATAATCAACCAATTGGGAATTACACCATCAAAAATTAAAATAAAATCCAATGTTCTATACATATACATATGTAATAAGCGGAAATTGAAGCAATAAAAAGTCTGGACGACCATCGGTATTGTTTGCAGTTTCTCTGTTTGACTCTCACGTATACAGTCTGAACAAGTGTTACCGCTTGTTGTCTTAAATTAAGAATGCTGATACATACATAAATGATTTTCAGTCGCCTATGCTAATACACGCGGCATACGTGAGTAAACTGTTTTGTTATATTATTGATTATAAATCAATATTCAAGACGACCCAATTCATTTTCCCGAAAATGTGGAAATTCAGTTTTTTTAGTATTACACTATATCTATCCAAACTGATATACGTGTAAGCAATAAATTAGTCTTAAAATTCAGCAGATTAAAAAATGTTTATTACATTTTTATTATTTACAATATTCATCTGCAATCCATTACCTGTGTCATTAACACGTAAAGTAGACTTAAAAAAACTCTAGTGCTGAAACTCTCTACAACTTTGCGTTACTTGGCAACTTGTTTTATAACAAACTAGCATCGATAAGGTCTTTTTTTTTCATTGCTACTCTAATTATTGAACTTTTCCCGCACTTGACCAAAAATAGAACGAGTGAAGGCATTCATATTTAAATAGCTTTCCTGTAAATAATCTTTCTTGTCGAAATTTTCACGTACCTACTGTTCGTCCATCATGAAATAAAAAATTGGAAATTATTTAGAAAGAATTATGGTAATTTTAAAAATAAATTACACATTACACTTTACAACTCCATTACTTTTTTCTAGAAAATTAATGTAATGGTCATCGTAACAGATCTATAATGTCATCTTTTCTTGACGTACAGCCTGTACAACACAAAAATGCAAATTTCCGCATCCATCTGTCTGTTGGGAATATAATAAAAGAGTAATCTCTGAAACTGCCGCATCTATTTTTCTGAAATTTTACGTATAAAATGCTGAAGTGTCAAACTATTGACTCCATCATCATCATCATCATCATCATCATCATAACATGCAGATGTGACACATTTCTTTATCTGTAAATTACTCTTTCTATGCTTTATCGTAAAAACTTCTACGGTTAAATTTATGTAAAATAGTAAAGCTGATTGAAGTACTAACCAAATTTATTTAGTTTCTCAAAAAAAATTGCACTTATGTTACTGGTAAGTAAAAAAAGTTTTTACCAAGTCTGCAGCATATGTTTAAAAATTATTAATTTAACTAGTTATCGTTATTTTATTAAAAAATCATTCACTATTGACACATGATGTATAAATTACTAAAAAAAAGTAGACAAATAAACGAAGAATTAAATTTAATTTAACAAAATAACAGAAACAGAGGGACAATTTGAGGGACGTCTGTAAGAGTTAATGGAATTGTTTTCGCGTGAAAACGTTTATTAATTGCGGAACTGATAATCAAATGATGAAAAACACTGTTTACAACAGCCTCCTTCATTGTTTTTTTTTTAAGAAAAAATCGTACTTGGTCTATTTCTGTTATTTTGTTAAATTAAATTTAATTCTGCGTTTATTTGTCTTCTTTTTTTGCTAATTTTTACATCGTGTGTCAAGTGACTGCTTCGTTAATAAAATAACGATCACTAGTTGAATTAATAATTTTTAAAGTGGTTTCGCGAAATTTTTCAAGGTGGCCGTTTTTTTTGTCGGTATTTAGAAATCGTTAAATCGTTAAATAAAACGGAAAGAAGAAATTGTAGCATTAAACGACGGTATAATTAATTTCTCGCCAAAAAGTAAAGAGCAGCATGTGTATTCACTGGTACATAGTTTAATTTATTCGTACGTATACACATGTACACACAGTCACAAAACAATATTGTCAGCGCATACAATAATACAATTTGAACTCTGAAAATTTTTAGAAAAAATATGAGAACAGTGAAAATATATATTATCACTCATTTAGGTGCACTGCAACAAATTTAAATAAACTAAACAACGGAGACTAAACAGATAAACTGGATCCAGAGATTACAGACATGTGAGTCAGATCTCATT